ACGGTATTGTGTTACTAACCCCAAATAGCCGAAGGAACACGGAAAGAAGAACTAAGGATCTGTGAGGCTTTAATCAACCACAGAGTGACTCGAATACAATCGTCTAGAACTGTTGTGTCTGTGTCCAAACTCCTTCCTCCACAGGTTAGTTAGATGACAAGACAAAAGTCAAAAAGTTGAGGTGTGCTGTGTCCCAACTCTCCTTCAACAGGTCTGAGTTGAACTGACAGAGCAGTCAGGAGTGTTGTCCTGTGGTCCAACTCTTCCCTCACCAGGTTAGTTTACATGAACCAGACCAGCTACAGGTGAGTGTAGTCTGTGTCCAACTCTTTCCCTCACAAGGGATTATTTTAATGACAAGGCACAGTCGAGGTGGAGTTGTGTCTGTGTCCCAACCTCCCTTTCGCTCCACAGGTTTAGTTAGTGACAGACAGTCAGTGAGTCGTGTCCTGTGGTCCAACTCTTAACTCACCAGTTTAGTTAATGACTGTTACATGAGTGCACGTGTGAGCAGATTTCGTGTCCCTGTAGAAATCTGAACGAGAATCAGAAAATAAAGCTTTTCCTTCCATTAAAACAGCCTTTTTGAATGCGAGTTTGGATGTGACCGTGTGGAGCAGAGGGGATTCATGAACCGTCCTTAATAATTCCCAGAATAAAGGAAGGCGCCTACAAAAAGAAAAAAATAATGAAAATAAAAACAGCTTGACGAACTGTAGAGAAGTGACTGTGTGTGTGTCAGGGAGCAGATCCTGCGGGTGAAGGAGGAGGAGGCGATCCCTCTTCTCCTGGTGGGAAATAAGTCGGACCTGGAGGAGCGGCGGCAGGTGTCTGTCGACGAGGCCACGGCGAAGGCGAGCGAGTGGGGGGTCCAGTACGTGGAGACGTCGGCCAAGACGAGGGCCAACGTTGACAAGGTAAACAGACAAATAAACAACACGTCGAGGCTCCGCTGACTGTTCACTCGAAAGGCCACGTTGCTCTTTTCACTGGCAAAACCTTTTATTTACACGGCATTTTAAAGGAATTTTAATTTAAAGGAAACATGAAGTTATTTTGGATTACAGACTGTAAATTGCACAGAAAACCCACTTCACAGATTCAGTATGGTGTTTGATATGACAAAAACTGTTTAATTTAACGGTAAACACGTGTATTTATGCGGTACAATATGGATTAAAACTCAACTCGACTAATATTCTTTTTTTGTTTGTTGAGTTTGAATCCATATTTTACCGTTTAAATAGAGAAATACATTTTGCTGTATGAAAACACCATACAGAATATAACGTAATATAGAGTCTGTAATATAACTGTTGAGTAATTTTAACCATCTCCAAAATGTGGTGGTCTTTTCAACATAGATTAGCCTAGCACGTAGCATATCTAAGTACAGGACAGGAGGAAGGTGGGCGGGGCTTAAGAAGGGTCAGATGTTCTCGTTGGCTGATGTACGGCTGTTCTGTCTGTCCGGCAGGTGTTCTTTGACCTCATGCGGGAGGTCCGCAAGAAGAAAGTGGCGGAGAGCAAAGACAAAAACGGACCGAGCGGCAAGAAGAAGAAGAAGCCCTGCTGCATACTTTAAAGCCGAGCCGCGTCCCGAAGCGACAACGTGCCAAAAAACCAAAAGAGCGGTCAGATCGGAGCGACGCCAACAAACCATAAAACTGTCCGACTGCTGCAGAGATCCTCTACAAACAGTCGGGGAGGGAAACGCCTCACCTGCACATTTATTTGACCATTTATTTTTTTACACTCAAAAGTATTTTCCTCCAAATGTATAAAATCCAAATTTAAAAGAACGGATGTGTTCAGGTTCTTTTCCCGCGTTGCTGTGAATGTTTCGACAATCTTGACTTTACCTGCAATCTAAGAAGCAGATTTTCTTTGTAAGATTGGAACCAGAAGTTCCAGGTTGACATTTGTTGTGCCTTAAACTGTCGTCTCTCCCCGTGGTCTGAAATCAGAAACCTAAAACGTGTAAGAATTGTTTTTATTCCCTAATTTTTCTCTTTGTTTAGCTTTATTTCTCTCAAAAGTCTGTTAACATTCCTGATGTTAATTAGTACACTTCAACACACTCCTTTTTCTATGAAGGCTTTATTCTCCACTTCCCTTACTAATACAAAGTGTCATTTATAATCAAGCTTTAAAGGGAATCTACTATTTAAATCACTTGGATTATTAACTGTATATTTATGACTTTTAAAGCTAAAGCGTATTTGTGTGACAATCTCATATCCATTATATAATAAAAGACACTGAGTCTCCTGGATGAGTCACCTGTGCTTTTATAAATATTATATTATATTAATAAAGTGGCTTTGAAGGTTATATTGAAAATAAAAAGTCATTCTCACTATTGTATCTTGTAATCATGACTTTATATCATATTTTTTTATAATGTCTTTTAATTATCTTATATGTAGATAGTGTGTGTGTGTATTATAATTCTAACTTTATAACTCAAGACTTTTGGTCATAATTTAAAAAAAAATTAATCATGATTCTTTTTAACCTAAGACCTGGTAATAATACTTATAATATTAATAATACTTATTTCTTCTTCATGGAGGGCCGATGTGAGATGAGAAGACACGCGCTCCCCAACGTCGACCAGGTAAAAAAATCAATCAAATTTCTGGCTGATTCTTGATGAGATATGTATAAAAGTGTTATATGTTTGCCAGGGTATGCACATTTGACAAAAGTTAGTAACGATGTACCGATGTGGACAGGCGGACTTAGTTTTGTTGAAAATGTTCATATGTTAGCAACAAAATGTGAGTATGAAAATGTAGTTTGGGTAGATTTTTGGTACAAACATATAGCATGTTTTATAAATAAATCTACATTTTTATTCATTCATTATTTATTCAAATATTAATATATTAATATTCGATTTTTTTCACAATGGTGACTTTATTGTGTTTTTGCACGTTTATACGGACAAATATTGATTTTTATATACCTTAATACCTTCCGTGTCATATGACCAAGAAGCTCAAAATCATCAATTATATAACTACACTCCACAACTGCGATACACCTCTTTTAATCCGTGTTCAGCGCTTTTTGCATTTTATATTATTTATATGGAAAAATCATATTGTTCATTTTTGTGAAAGGAACTACATGAAGTCGTTATGTTTTCTTAAAGTTTAGATTTAAGATCTAAGCTTCAAAGACCTGAACACAGCCTTTTTTGACAGAGCCTTCACTCTCCGATAAACAGCCTCGTCCTGCATTAGAAAAGTGAAATAACCAAAGAGCTCATTGAACAGCGAGAAGAAAACACTGATTCTGTCCAAAAAGAAGCCGATTAATTATTGTTTAAATTATTACTGGAAAAAAAACACTTAACTATTCAGTAATTCACTGTTTGG